ACAGAAAACAGAAACAGCTACATATATCTAACAACTCACACATAATCTGTAACCAAATATATATAACTGAATATATTTAACCTGTATTTAGTGTGTATAAAATGTGTGTTTGTGTTTTAATTATTGGTGTGAAATACATCTACTTTAAATCATGTTATAATGTTGTTGCCTCATCTAAAACATGCCTGAAGTTGTCTTTTGTTTCATTCACATGTGTTTGACTAACCTTTTATTATCAGTCTGACTACATGTCCAAAGCTCAAAATGCTCTGTTCCACATTGTGATGTCATGAAGCTGTAGTTTTCAAGTGAACCGCTCCTTTTACCTTTGGTTTAGTAGATTGGCAATTCCACAACTGAAATTATCCAAACGATTGTAGTGAAAGTGTGTGGCAGGAGTCATCTTACTTATTAAAAATGTAACAAGTAATTATTAAAGACATTTAAAGAGATCTTAACAACAAATGAGAATGACAAAGGAGAAATTCAATATGTCAAATGAACAAAAGTTGTTTTTTTTAATCGAATACGTTTCTTAACTTAGATGAGGCAGTGACTAAATGTCATGGATTCGACCTGCACGACTGAGGGATTTTATATGCCACAAATGAGCTGTTGAAACTGCCTCAAATGTCGTTTCAACTATAAACCTGAGGAACATCTGCCGCACACTGCTCCATACTGCTCCTGTGTCTGTGACAGCACATGAACACATCACTACACAACTGACTATGGGAACTAAGAATTAATCAAAAATATATATATATATTCAAAATTCAAAAAAGTTTATTGTCAATTCTTCATACGAAGCATATGAAGATCTGAAATTGTGTTTCTCACTCACAAGAGTATAAATAAATAATAATAAATGAAGAAGTCCAAGTGTTCTTCTTTGAGGAGACAGATTCCTGCTTCCTGGCGCCTGGTGGTTAGAGAGGAGAGAGTTCAGCATCCTAACAGCCTGGTGGATGAAGCTGTTGGTGAGTCTGGTGGTGCGGGAACGGAGGCTCCTGTACCTCGTCCTGGAGGATAGGAGGCTCCTGTGCCTCACATCACTCACAGTTGCGGTGGCTTTGTGGGTGAGGCGGGTGGTGTATCAGTGCAGTGTGGTGATGGTCAGTGCAGCTTCCATCGCACACAGTGATGCTGATGTTTCACAGTGATGGATTCTGTTTGTACCTGTAATAGGAGGGTTTCAGTCACGTGATCACGATGATGCGCGAATTTCAGGTGGAGGGCAGGAAGTGAAGACAAACACGACAAACACGGCTCTGGAGAACACAGATATGGAGAAGAGTTCTTATTGTAAGGATTTAGAGCCAGTAGCAAGACAAAAGTACGAGCAGTTAGTCGACAAATATATTGGACGTGACCCTGATCTTATTGAAAATTGAGAGAATTGTCAACCAAAGTAAAAGATTTGAGGACAATCGAGGCAGAGGAGATCACGAACTATTTAGCTCTTCAGACATCGTTCTACACCAGACAACAGATGAAGACAAAGTACAAAAGTTTGGAGGCATAGAACTTTTTTTGTCAGTGGATGGATCCTCAACCTTGGTGCAAAACGCCTAAATGATGATTATGGTTTGGTCTTCGCCGGGGTGAGTGTTTCTCTTATTTTATGTGTATAGATGTTATGGGGAAAAACTGCAGTGTATCGGCAGTGACCTCTATCTGAACTATTTAATGTCAACAAACATCGTTAGCCGTTAGTCGTTAATGATTCGTTTATGTTTAGGTAAACCACAAAAAACAATTTAGCTTTGTAACAAACCTTTGTTGAAGTGGTCACTGCAGACACGAGCATTAGTGAATTCTGCTCCTCCCGACCGCAAACAGGTCTGTAATCCACTTTTTACAGCATTGTTCTGTCGACTTTTCCCATTTCTGACCTTTGTGGACGACTATATTCGGTACTCTAAAAAAATAACTTTTCCTTCTCTCGGTTAGAACAATTGGCACAGCCGTAAACTACACAACACATCAGCATTTTCCTCCAGTCAGTTCACTTCCTGCCCTCCATCTGATTTTGCGTGCTGACAAACGTAGCCCTGTGACGTCACGTGAAACCCAGATATTTAAGTATTCACACAGTCATGTATTACACTACTATATTACTTCAAACTGTAATCCAATTCCAGTAAGTAAATCTTAGTGCCTAAGTTAATTAGTAAACCCATCAGGGGTAGTGACAGGTGTGCCTTGAAACAAAAATCCATGATGAGTTCAGATTGACAAAAGCGTTTCATTGTATATTTAAATGAGTTTCTGAGGAAAAGTCTGCGCCACAAAAGACAGAAAATCAATCTCCAAGGCCAAATAAGAACCAGACTGTGGAAACAACAATCATCAGCCCATTATAATTGTCTGGTGTCTTATTTAGACTAAAAGTGAAGGTAATTGTTATTGTCCCTGAGTCTACACAAACTCACACACATTACACACACAATTCAGCGCTATGTTCTACGAAGTTTGTGCACTGTCAGATACATCACCATCACTTTACAGCACATCCACATCAAAGCACACTGTCACACAATCAGTCTGGAGATTTGGTTAGGATTGAGGCACTGTGCAAAGGAATATTTTAACTCAAAAAGTGTGCCGAGACTTTAAAATGGCTGAATAAAAAAAAACTGTTGTAGTAGGAGGTATAGTGACTGATCCCCCGTACTGAAGAATGCCCCACTTCTTCACTGATGACTCATTATCTGAATAGAATTATAATTTAAAAAGAAAATACGTCTATATTTCTGGGTGTACTGTTTTTCAGGGTTGTAATGTTTTGGCATATTACTGCTCCAGTTTCTGTCAAAATAGTTTACAACTGATAAAAACTTAAAGATCATGTGGCATTATTGCAGTTCTTAAATGTGACATTAAAGGTACGGTACGTAATTTTCTTTAGGCAGAAAGTTACCTACATGTTTCCATAGAAATAGAAGGTTAAAACCACACTTTGGAACAATTTTCTTGGAGATAAATCTTCTTCTTGGGGATATTTGTTTACATGAGAGCTTTAATTCTGATAAAAAATAACTGAATTTGGAATCAAATTTTATTCCACTTTAAAAAGCCCATGTAAACACTTATTTATTATTTGGAATTAAACTTATTCGGAATTAAACTTAAATCCGAATTAAGTGGATGGTTTATTCCGATTTTAAAGCAATCGTGTAAACGTTTATTCCGCTTAAAAAATCATTCCGGTCGTTCAGCACATGTGCGTTGGATTCTGCTTCTGACGCAGTGACGCACTGCTGTTCCTCGAGCTCGTGTTCTCTGTGCGCGAGGAGTTCAGCTGGTACCGAGGTGGTGCAAAACATCCAGAAGCGTGAATCCCATTTGTTTGGTTATATCTTCTCAGGTCAAGACACCTAACACCACTCCCCACTCCAGCTCATCTAGGACAGGACCGACCTGAACCGGACCTGCTCCCGCTGGTTCAAGAGTCTGTGTTTGGACGCTGTTCCCCAGTTTGTATGGACGGGGGAACAGCGGTAACAACAAATCGAGATGATATAAAAGCCGGTAGCAGCTTTTTTTTTTTTTTTTTTTAAGTGTGTGTTTTCTTCCGGTCGACGTAAATTCTGTCCAATCAGAACCCTTCCCCACCGCCAGACATTGAGCAGAATTAAATAAAGCCGATTTAACATGTTTACGTGTAAACCTTAATTTGGAATTATTATTTCCATGAAAACTCAAAGGAGAATAATTTATTTCCAAATTATTTAAATTGGAATAATTCAATCGGAATTAAGCCAAAAAGAATAACATTTTTATGGAAACAAGCAGGAGGCCAAAAAAAGCCAAAAAAAAAAACAGGTTTGTGGAGATGCAAGTCTGCGCAGAGTAAGTTTTTCAAAGTTTTTCAAAGATAATAACTTAAATTTTTGTTTGTTTGTTGCTAAAAAGTTACTGTGGATTGAAGTTGTTTGGTTTTTTTTGCTGTTTTGTTTTGACTATATAATAATTTTATTTTCATTAGGCATGTAACAATAACCAAAATATCAAAAGTCTCACAATAATATCGTGGGCTGTCACAATATATCGTATCACAAGTTTCTTTGCTGCATGGTTTTATAGAAGCAACAGCTTATAAACATCAGAAACTACATATCCCATGATTCATTTCAGTGCAGACAACATGAAGAAATACGTTTTTTTTTCTTGAATTCTTGGGATTATGATGGAAATAATTCACACCAAAATCGTGTCAAGATATTTTAAAAGCAAAAAAGTTTCCTATCTACAATTACATCAGCCTCTCCAAAATATCGAAATAAATATGGTACAGTGAGATCGTGATAATATCGTGCCGAGAGATTTGGATATTGTTACATCCCTAATTTTCATGTTTTCATTTCATTTTTTTAAATTTTATTTATGTATGTATATATATATATATATATATATATATATAAAAATGTATTTTTTTTAAAATTTTATTTTACCAAAAAGTAAATTCGAAAATCATATCATTCTGTCATATGTTCAGTTCTATACTGTTTTTACTATATTTCATTTCATTTCATTTTAAAATTTATTTATATTTATTATTTATTTACTGTTTTTGCTATTATTTATTTTATTTTACCCAAAAAAGTAAATTCGAAAATCACATCGTTCTGTCATATGTCCAGCCCTGTACTGAAGCCCCCAAGCGCTGCGTAAAATCCACCCCGGCCAAGCTCCGTGCGTAATTGGCGTAACAAACCCACTGCTTCCCTCCAGAGCGCAGTGGCATTTGACTCCCCCCGTCCCCCCCGCGCGTTCCCCGGGAGGTGGGGGCATCTGTGCGCTCTCGAGCAGCCGGCCCAGAGGATCAGATGACCGGCTTCTATCAATAGAGCCCAGCGCCCGGAGCCAGGAGCGTGTCTGTCCGCGCGAGCCAATGGGTCAAGGGGACGGCGCAAGCCTCTTTACGCACGGACGTCACCTGTTTTACGCACGCTGTTTAGGATTTCCGACAGCGCGCATTCGTGGACAGAAGCTTTTAGTGTTTTTCGGAGGGGGACATGATCCAGTTGGAGACCGGAGTGTGAGCGCGCAGTTCCCGGTACCAGAATGGAGGCGAGCCGTGCGTCGTGGATGAGAGCGGGACTCGTGCTGTTCGTAGCAGGTCAGACGTTCACCGTAACATTAGCATACGTATTTTGTGTGTGTGTGTGTGTGTGTGTTTGTTGTTGTTTACTTCGCACATGCGTAAACACGGGTATCAAGTCACAACAACTAAGATAGTAACGTAGATAATCTGGTGGAGGTCGTATTTTCACGTATGGCACTTGCATGTTTACGTACAAGTTTAAAAGCAGTGACTGAAACTTATATTTACGTATTAAATTCCAACTCTTTCCCCTAATTATTTTTATGCATGTACTGTTGTTTATTTCAAGTTTACACCGTATCTGAAATGTCATGCGTAATAAATGCGTAAAATAAAGCGAGGAACATGGTTACGTAGACATTTTTGGATATTTTATTGCACTGACACTGGCAACAAATGTATTTCCCAAACTGATATGATTGATACGAATACATAGTCATCATCAGTAGTAGCAGCAGTAGTAGTAGTAGTAGTAGTAGTAGTAGTAGTAGTAGTAGTAGTAGTAGTAGTAGTAGTAGTGTTGTCACAAAATGTTGTTTTGTAAGTTTTGAAACTCAATTTCGATACTAAGGAAAAGATTCGATACTCAATACCGATTCCGATACAGTGGACAGAACTAAACCAGGACTAAACAAGGTCTAAAACTAGGACTAAAACAGGATTTAACCAGGACTAAACCCAGACTAAATCAGGTCTAAACCAGGTCTAAACCAGGACTAAACCAGGTCTAAAACAGGACTAAACGAGGTCTAAACCAGGACTAAAACAGGATTTAACCAGGACTAAACCCAGACTAAATCAGGTCTAAACCAGGTCTAAACCAGGACTAAACCAGGACTAAACCAGGTCTAAACCAGGACTAAACCAGGTCTAAAACCAGGACTAAACGAGGTCTAAACCAGGACTAAAACAGGATTTAACCAGGACTAAACCCAGACAAAATCAGGTCTAAACCAGGTCTAAACCAGGACTAAACCAGGACTAAACCAGGTCTAAACCAAGTCTAAACCAGATCTAAACTTGGACTAAATCAGGTCTAAACCAAGACTAAACCAGTTCTAAATGAAGTCTCAACCAGGTCTAAACGAGGCCTAAACCAGGCCTAAACCAAGTCTAAACCAGGTCTAAACCAGGTCTAAATCAGGACTAAACCAGGTCTAAATCAGGACTAAACCAGGTCTAAACCAGATCTAAACTAGGACTAAACCAGGTCTAAACCAAGTCTAAACCAGGTCTAAATCAAGTCTAAACCAGGTATAAACCAGGACTAAACCAGGTCTAAACCAGGTCTAAACCAGGACTAAACCAGGTGTAAACCAAGTCTAAACCAGGTCTAAAACAGGACTAAACCAGGTCTAAACCAGGTCTAAACCAGGTCTAAAACCAGGACTAAACCAGGTCTACTAAACCAGGTCTAAAACCAGGACTAAACCAGGTCTAAACCAGGTCTAAACCAGGTCTAAACCAGGACTAAACCAGGACTAAACCAGGTCTAAAACCAGGACTAAACCAGGTCTAAACCAGGACTAAAACCAGGACTAAACCAGGTCTAAACCAGGACTAAACCAGGTCTAAACCAGGACTAAACCAGGTCTAAAACCAGGTCTAAACCAGGTCTAAACCAGGACTAAACCAGGTCTAAACCAGGACTAAAACCAGGACTAAACCAGGTCTCTAAACCAGGACTAAACCAGGACTAAACCAGGACTAAACCAGGTCTAAACCAGGACTAAACCAGGACTAAACCAGGTCTAAACCAGGTCTAAACCAGGACTAAACCAGGACTAAACCAGGTCTAAACCAGGTCTAAACCAGGACTAAACCAGGACTAAACCAGGTCTAAACCAGGACTAAACCAGGACTAAACCAGGTCTAAACCAGGTCTAAACCAGGACTAAACCATGTCGCACCGCTGCAACCTCCGTTCCACGAAATACTGTCAGACATAAAACCGGTTTTGCCTCATTTACAGTCCATTTTATCCACTTCTCTGTCCTCTTTTGGATTATTTCTGTTCACAACTACAGTGGAAGCGATGTAGTCCACTTTTAGACCTGGTTTAGTCCAACCTCTGACCTGGAATCGTACTGTTATAGACTTGGTTTAGATCTGAGAGAACCGAAAGTTCCAAAAGAAACCAAATTGTCACATTGAAAACCACTTCTCTTCAGTGTTATCTTCTTGTTTATCCATTTGTACTTTCTCTTGTATTTTGCTGGAAAAGTGTATCCGTAACATGAGAACACGCTGTACTGATTTCAGATTAAGTTACATTCAGACGGCTTTCATGGATTGGTGACTTTGGCGATAAAAATGCAAAAAATGTTCCCATGACTTTGGTTTATTTGTTTGAGAAAGAGGCAACATTGTATTTGAGATGTCAGTCAAGATGCACTATGTAACTTTTCTGGTAGAAGGTCAGCCAACCGCTTGTCGCCATGGAGATGATATTGCGGAGTATGAAATTCAATATGTCTGTCTAAAAAAGCCAAGTTACAGGTCAGATCTGCGGAGAGGTGCTATCAGCAATAAAAAATACCAACTGAATGAATGCAAAGATAGATACACACTAGTGTGCCGTGAGAGATCGTCAGGTGTGCCGTGAGAAATGATCCAATATCACTTTTTTTAATTAAAATTGATTAATTATTACCTGCAAATATGAAGTCATTGTGGAGTGTTGACACTATACTACACTGTAGTGTCTAATGACTGGCACAGTGATCTAATATTCATCCAGGTGGCAACAGGCAGCTAATTGCCTCGTTCCTTTAAAAGAATTAGTAACTCATGTGCATGGTGACAGTCATGGAGAAGTTTTTAAAACGGACGAATGCAAACTCCAAACTGGGCCCTGGACAAGATTCTGACCCAGAAGAAGAGCTTTTCAAGCTTAACTGCTATAAAAACTAAAAACAGAGAGAGACTGAGAGCTGTTGATGAAGAGTGTGTGTCTTTCTTCTACTCCTGCCAGGATATCAGCTTTGTGTTCATCTAAACAGGCGCAGGTCTCACACTGAGTAAGTAGAAATTAATGTAGAAACTACAAAAGCACTCAGAGAGCGCAGACCTCCGCCGAGGACTACCCCCATTTTTTATGTAAATTGTATAATTGTATTCTGGATCAGATCCGGATCAGCCTTTGGAATATGAAAGAGGATCCCATTGTCCATCGCTGAGTCAAATTTCATGGGGTTTGGTCAATAATTAACCGAGATATTGAGAAACAAAATTTTTGGCCCCATTTACCACAATGTTAACTAAAATTTCAAAGTGATCCAGAATCCAGGATTTCTTCCGGATCAGCCCCAAAATGAAATCAGTTCTTCCTTTTCACATTTCCAACAAATCCTGAAAATTTCATCAAAATCGGTCCATAACTTTTTGAGTTATGTTGCTAACAGACAGACAAACAAACAAACAAACACCGGCAAAAACATAACCTCCTTGGCGGAGGTAATTATATTGTAATTAAATATACTGTATAGTGTCATTTTGTAACATTTTGGTTAGTGGTGTGCCGCAAGTTTTTTCCAATGTAAAAAACGTGCCGTGGCTCAAAAAAGGTTGAAAAACACTGCCTTAAAGGGCCAATATTCTGCTATTTTCTGATCTATGTTATAATGTTGTGTTCTCAGAAACATACCTGGAGTTATTATTAGGCTACGTTCAAACTGCAGGGCTTAATGCTTAATTCGATTTTTTTGTGAAATCCGATTTTTTTTTGTGAGGTCGTTCACATTTCCAGTTAAATGTGACTTCTGTGTGATCTCCAGTGTGAACTTGAAATGCCCAAAAAGTGCCTCGCATGAGCACTGGAGGACACAACGATGTCACACTCAACGAGCGTGCTCAGTGCTTATGAACGTCGCCTAAACGCTGGGCTCGTCTCCCAAAATACAGTCCAGTTCTTGGTAAAAATGGACAGGTTACACGTCCACGGCCGCTTCGTTTGTTTGAGTCTTTAGCCTCCTTGTACCGTATTTTCCGGGCTATTAGACGCTCTGAAGCCTCTAACCCCATCAAAAAACGACCACACGCTCTACAAGCCAGAGCCCTATACACGAATCCACTCGGGTGTCCCAGCACGACTTCAATAAACCACCAAACCGCACCACCCAAAAGAAAACCTGAAAAAACGGGTGCAATGTGCCACTCTGAGTCACAACTGAACAACTGAGTCACTGCGAACACGCCGACAATCCGTTGGTCCCAGACAGCACCCTCCCTACACGCCACAACTGAACAAAGCCCAGAGTCACCGTGAACGCCACAAAGAAAGTCCAACTCACCCATCACACTGTTGTGTTTCCTTTAAAGTCCGGGGCGGTTTATTTGTGAAAAAAGTTCGAAAATAAACCATTTAATGACAGTGCGTTTTATAATCCAGAGCGACTAATAGCCCGGAAAATACGGTATTTGGCTCGCAGGCTCTTTACCATTTCTTTGGCAGTCATTTCAAAAATCGCCCAAACTCCGACGAGACCACTCCAATTTGTTCTGAATACAACAATCCCCGCAAATATGAATGAAATCACTAACCTCGCTTTCCCTCCATCGACGAGACTCCGAGCCTGACGTGTAGGTGGGATGAATGTGACCTGACCGTTCAGACTGAAGTCGCACGTCAAAAGATCAGATATGTATCGGTTTTAGGAGCACATATCCAAGTGTCCTTCGAAAAAATCGGATCTGTCATTAAAAGATCAGATACAGAAGCATAGGAGCGGGAAAAAAAACAGATTTGGGTCACTTCAGGCTGCAGGCTAAAGTCGTAACCATAGTCTGTTTACATCTCCAACGCTCAAAATATTGTGTTCCACCTTGTGATGTCATGAAGCGGTAGTAGTTTTCGAGTGAACAGCTACCTTTGACCTTTAGTTCAGTAGAGATCAGCATTTCCAGGACTGAAATGAACTAAATGATTCTAGTGAAGGTGTATGCAGTTTAAAAACACAGTGGAGAGAAGAATGCAGGTCCTATTTACACGAGAATGCTTACAGGTAAAAACGACA